AATAGACCCACCCATCCCACCCCAGGGGAGGACAACCATCACACAGTAATCTCATGTGTGGGAAATGAACATCTCCTACCCCAACCCTGCAGGAGACGAACCTTCATTTATTCTTCCCTATCCGAGAATATCTAACCATTTCTTGATCTTGATGTTATAGAAAGGCAGCAAATTCTTCTCAATTATTTTAAGGCCCTGAGTGTTGGTCCTGTCGGGGCTCGAACCCTCGACCTCCCGCACAACAGTCCAGCGCTCTATCCATTGAGCTAACCGGGAGGCGGTTGATACTGTACAAAGGCAAGACAGGGTGTGTGTTATACATGGAAAGAAAAACAGATAACACTTATCCCATTGCTAGGCTTACAGTGTCTTAGATATCGTAAGAAGTTAGTATACAGACTCAAAACACGTGTTAGTTATGATAATGAGATTTTTTTTCTTAGATACACCTATGGAAAGCCAGTGAAAGGAACTGTTTCAGTGCTCTTTCAAATGAAAGTACTGGTACCTAACTGGTTTCGGAGAAGAAAGTCTATGGAAATGCAAATAACAACAGAGAAGGAGGTACAATTTATTGGAAAGCTTGGAGCAAAAATATCCCATTGATGTTTTTAGTCATTTCAAAAGAGCAGCAAAGTTTTTTAATTTTTTTCTGTTACTTTTGTCTAAGATGAATATCAAACCTATGAAATTTTTTTGGTGGTTTGCTCTTGGACAAGTTTTGATTTTGTTTCAAAGAGCTTATTTCAATTGAAAATGTCATACTTGTCCATGTTGTTGTTGTTTTGCACACTTGTTTAAACATTAAGATGTCAAGGATCTGTATTTATTTTATTCCCACTAGCTGTAGTCTAAAATTACTGTTGTTATCTCTTTCAGATCAATGGCTGCACAGATGTGACTATCAAGACAGATGATGTGTTGAAAAAACTTAAGGAGTACTCCAGTTACCACCGCTATGTTTGTAACAGTGCAAAGATTGCCATCAATGCTACTGTAAAGGAAGCAGCAACAGGGGTCTCTCAAAATGCTACAGGAACAGAAAGTCAGGTTGTCAAAGGAACAGCAAAACTGCAGTTTCTTCCAAGTACACCAAAAGAATTTAAGCCAGGTATGGCTTATAGTGGGCAGGTAGGAATTATTTCTACTATTACAGTAAGTGGGGAAAAATGGTTAATTTTGCTCCAAGTTGTCAGATGGAGGAATGTACACTAACTATATTTGTGTCAGTAAAATGCCAGTTACTGTGGAGTGAATTCCCACTCTGAGACTTTAAGAATACTCTGCGGTATAGATCCTAATTACAGGTTTTTAACCCTATAACTCATATGCATGACCAAAATAAAATGTCTCCTTACATTATCACTACAATATCAAGCAGATAAGTGATGAGACTAAACAAATATAATTATAGATAAGGAGATCATTAATTGATCCAATACCCAATTCTCCCGACTAACATCATAAGAATGGCACAGCAATCAGTAAGGAGAATTTTTAACAAAATCTTGAGAGTGAAAGGGTTAAAGGTCCTCTGCCAGGTGAATGAAGTTTTTGGCAATGATTTTTATACTTTGGTAGCTTGTAGAGCAAGTGTAATTTTGGTGGGCAGGTGTTCCATATATCCTTAGTGAAAATTATGGCAGTCATCTTTGATGTTAATGGAAGTGGAAGGCTACGAAGAGAAGGAAATTTGTACCAAGGGGGTGAGTGACAGTGAAAAAATGAAGATGGGGGTGAGGGTGGGGAAAGTGAATATTGATGTTATTATTGTTTCCCTTCCTGCCCCCTTCCCCCACTGTCAACTATGACTCCAAGTTAAACATGGCCGGTTGAATAAACGATTGTGTGCTTCTTAGCATGCATTAACTGACCCTAGTAAGATGCCTGCACCGCAGGCTAATACCTTGGAAAAGACTTGAAACAATCTTCTCAAGCCTCAGCCAGCTCAGCATGATAATAAGATAAGCTTTCATATGATTATTGTGGCAAGCTGTTAGGAGAAACAACTCGCCAGAATCACTCATTATTTCTTAAAACTACTTAAACACTAAGACGCCCTATAAAAAGAGTGGTGTCTAAGGTACCTCTGGATCATTTGTCAATCAACCGTCATACCATACAGAACTCTATATTCAAATCAGCTTGAGCTGAAGCAGATCCATAGCAGTGAACAGCAGGCAGATTCATTAAAAAGTTTTTACGTTTTCATCACAATGGAAGAGTTTCTCGAGGTTTGTATTTCCGTTCTCCAGTGGAAATCGTCTTCATTTAATTGTGGCAATAAATTTGAAATTCGAAATAATTCGCTTCACCATCACGTAAATATTACCACGGCATAATATCATATGTCTGTTTCTAAATACTGGATGTAGATGATCATAAAAATAAAGAAGAAAGATGAAGAAATGTTCCTCACCTTTCTTCAACAATGTGAAGGAGAATTGGTATCACCCAAACACAGAAAAACTTAGAGTGGAGCGACCATTACAGGCGAAATGCTGGAGCACGTGGGTGAATCATCGCCGGCTGCTGATTCCCTTTGAAATGTCAAGGTGTCGATGTCCCCAAAGGAATCAGCTGGTTTGGCTTCCTCACCATATTTTAATCTTATTATAACATGAATACAACAATATTGAGAGCTCTTTGACCTTCAGAACAGTTCATTACATTACAATTATAACTTGGGACAACAGTTCGATACTAACAATAATGTGATAATGTATCACCATCTTTGAAACACTCGCCTAAACCTGTAAATTTCTAGTCATGATTATTGGCAGGTTTTTTTTCCAACCAGGTAATAGTTGTTAGAAAACACTTTCAAACCAAGGTTTTTTTTTCCAATAATGCGACAGTTAGCGTCGCATGAATGTTTCAATACCTTCGTTTCCCGAAATGTAGCCTTGCATGACACCAACAAATGTATTGTCCTGCATAAGAATGTTTTGAAAGGAGTAATTCCTCTTGAACTACAGGTTTCATTTATCGCGACATTTTATGGTAAACATGTTCATAGAACATGAAAAATTATACAGAAATTGTCCAAAATAAAATTTGGGCGGGAAGACTGGTTGTGTGGTCATTCTTACAAGACTTCATGACCGTTCATTTCCGCTTTCCCTCCTAAAGTTATCTTATTTTGTCTCCAAAATAGCTGATGCAGTAGGGGATGAGGTGGAAATGTGCATTTACAATTAATACAGTTGTGAATACCTTGGGTGTAGAGAAGTGCACATACAAAATCACGTGCAATATCGTAAAGATTATAAGACGCACTGGAGATCTCTAAAGAAGTGTGGGCTCTGGAAAGACCCTGTTTGCCAGGCCAGAAAAATGGAAACTGGGAACCAAGTTAATGTACTGCGGGAAAGGATACCCAATTGTGCTATAAAAGATGTGAGGTCAAGGTTTCCTAACCCTCCATGTAAACTGCTTCCATTAAAGCTAAATGTGGTCGCTTCCGAAAGAAGCTGCGAAATATTTTATGGTTTGATTAACGCCTCCGTGATTAGTTCATTTTAGACAGAAAATTATAGTTAGCATTTCAGTTCAGGATAAGACCTCGTGTAATCAAGATCGTTTCTAAATAGAAGACAAGTTAGACCGTAATCCTCGATTAAGTAGTCAAGACCCGTGAACGTTGGTAAGCAACAAGTTATTTTGTGACTATGTCAACCCGTAGTTGTGATTCAAAGCGAAACCTATCGCTAGTTTTGTACTTTTCTTGGTTCTTTTAATTACCACGTGCTCGTTGTCCAAACTGATATTATTTGTAAAGCTATGATTGCATAATGGGTAATGATTTCAGTTGACCGCTTCGATATAAGAATGCCTCAAAGGATAGGAAAGGAATAAAGAAAGAAAAGATCCTATATTGGTTTGGTGTTAACCATATGTACGTGTATCAACCCGGGAATCAAGTTCAAATTCTAACTTGGAAGGAATCATTCACACTCCAGGCTTTCCTTACATGGGGCATAAAAGGGAATAATGAAATTCTCATACAAATGACCACGTCAAGGAGAGAAACTATAAGTAACATTTGAATAAGTTAGTGAAAGATATACAGTAAAAAGAAAATTAATAAAATCCCTAGAGTAATACCTACTGTAACTCTTGAATGTTTCAATGCTTAGTATCACCAGTTGGTGGAATTATTCCTCCCTGGTTACCTCACATCTTTTGCAAGACATTTCGGCTCCCATTTAAAATTATCACAGAAACTCAGAATCACTGGAAAGCAGAATAGAAATCAGTTGTTTAGATTAAAAAAGGTAGACTGTATAGTTTCCCTGAATTCAAGTGTCTTCGAAGTAAGCACCTTAATGGAGAGATTCAATCCAGTATGTTTTCCTACACTGCAGAATGTAACAGATTTTGCGTGATGTTTTTCTGTAACTGTAACAGGAATTTTTTGCAACACTTTTTTGGCCTTTACTGTAACATCACTAATTTGGAAGAGGCAAACTTTTTCATGTAAAGAAACATAAACATACAGTAGCATGTGCCAATTAAATACCCGCCTGTAATCAGGTGCATGTCTATATATTGAGGTGCCCATAATGGCTTTCCTATGTACACAGCTACGGCTTCAGGTTTAGTTAAAACCTTTTTGTTCATTATGTAGCCATTCTGCTTGCATCGTGACTCCGCATGGCAATTGACATGATTTCCCTGAGTAATACATAAAGAAAGTTATAGAAAAACAAATTAATAAAATTAGTATTGATAATGTAAGTATAATGCTCCTGGTTTTCCATTTTTACAGAAAATTATGCACTCTTTGAGTTCATGAATTATGCCTATCTTGTTGGAATTACACAGCAAAATGTGCTCACAACTGACAGCAAAAAATAATAATGATAATTTTGGTTCACATGAAATTGCTCTTTTGAAAGAGTAACCTGAGAAAAATTCATTATATATTATGACTACTACTCATTTTCTTAATAAACAATCATTCAAATTACCTGATAATGGTCAGCAACAACCAGCAGATTAACCTGAAATTCTTGCTCACTGGGTGGACTGTTCTTCATGCAAAAGTACACACGAGTCCGTGTACTTTTCACTGAAAAATATTCACAATATTCTATTGTATTCATCTTTAATCAAGAAGGAATTTGACATCAGCAGAATAATCATGGACAGAAAATATATTTTGATTACTCTCAAAAGAAAGACTTCTTACCCTTGTTTGACAGTTCAGAAAACCACTTTGAGCCCTTATCTCTCTGTGGTCCAGAAGCAACTTTCTTTATTGCCTTGGTCACAGACTTTGCACCTGTAAAAATATAATAAAAAACTAATAATACCAATGAAAGGCTAACGTTCAAGAAATGGTCAAGTGTCCTGACAAAATGAGCCTAAAAATACAAGTGTATACTTAGTACTGTGCTAAGAGTATCCTTTGGATAAGATCCATGTTTTCAGCTGCAACACAAAGTTGTGTGCCACCTCTGAAACATGGAACCCTGAAAAAAGGAAGCAAACAAACAAACAAAAAAATTACCTAAGTTGTTCTATACAACAACAACAAATTTATTTAAGCAATAAGAAAATTACCACGCTTGGGTCCACAAGTAGCTATGGCTATTCGAGGTGGGCACAAGATAGGAAAATAAAAAATGAAAAAAAAAGGAGAAAAGAATTCTATAGAAAATGAATATTTATATGTATAATTATAATATATAGACGAACAATCCTAAAAGAAATTTAGTTTGCCGTGTAGCTTATAGAGTGAAACAGTATATACTGGAAGTACACACAGTTATAATTTTGAGAATTGTACTCTAATATCAGCAGTTCTTATATAATCATCCTCTTTTTTCAGAATTTCGAAGAGTTTTTCCTTTATTGCGCTTTTAAATTGATTTTTTTAAGTGTTTTGATAGGAAGTGGAGTACTGTTCCAGATCAAGGTGCACAGCAGAAATAGAGAAGGCTCTCTTCATATTTTCAGTTCTAACTTGTTCAACATAATAATTTTCATTGGTAACAGATCTAGTCTGGTAATTGTGGACAGAAGCCAGCTCTCTGAACATATTCTTAATGTTGTCAGGAATGAGATTATTGTGGACATCGTACATTAAAAGGCTGAGGCATCATTTGCTCAAAGCACTAAATGATATCGGCAACTGTTTAGTTTGTAAGAATAACGGAACTTCATGAGCTCTTGGATCAGCGAAGAACATTAGCCTAAGGGCTCTCTTCTGAAGAACTAATAGTTTATGAAGATGTGGTTCAGCAGTGTGACCCCAAGCACAAGTGCCATAGCTGATATAGGGTAAGATTAAAGAGCGGTATAAAAGATACTTCTGTCCTCCATACTCATATTACATTAATGGTAGGATATTGAGGATGCAAATGTATCAAACCTTGGGTTTCAGTTAGAAAAGTCAGCAGCTCTTTTGTCATACGGACTTCATGGCTCACTGCTGAAGTTTCACTGGCCCTACTCCAGTTAACAACTCCTAAAACTTTTTTGGTCCTAAACAGAATCAGTAAAAATGAAAATATTTTAGGAATAGCATTGAGTGTACCAAGGTTCAACATATCTTGCAAAGATTTAGAGTTCAAAAGCATCTTATGAGAAGATGGAATGGAAGACGCTGAAGGAATCGAAAACCGTGTAGTAGATGGTGTAGAAACAAGAGAGGGGTCGGGACTAGCTGTACTTCCGTTGATGATAAGCTCAGTTGGCTTGATGTCAGTCCTTTCCTCTCCATTTTCTCCTCAAAAACTAACAGAAGAGCCTCCATCAGATCCACATGCTGTGTACTTGTGGTCACTTTTGTTAGCTTTAATGTTGTCTTTGATGCCAAGAAGTCTGCTCTCTTGAGTTTGAGGAAGCTCTATGTTGAAAGAGAACTGAAGACCTCGATCTGTTGGACACTTCTTCTTGGGCATAGATGGGTTATTTCTGTCAGCCATAATGCACAAATTCCACAATAAATATATTTTCGAGCAGCAACAGCTAAGAACGTTGCCAACCACTAGAGTTGTGAAATTATGGCTGCAAATGAATCGCTCTTGCAAATTAAATTATTCATTCTTTAGAGGTATTGTCACAGATGATATTGTGCATAGCGCATGCAGTATATTATGAAGCCGCTAGTTCAGTTCAATGGGAATAATCTGAAGGCTCAGCGAACCAATGTGTATAGGGGGCTTGCAGATATAAGCTGAAGTTACACGGTGCAAATTTTGAAAAGACAACTGTACACCTGACTAGTCAACCGCAGATCACACTTTGAACGGCTGAAGAATGTGTTAGTGCCAAATAATATCAAATTAAGCTAAATTATGGGAATGAGAGTCAACAAGCCTCAATATCTTCTAATTCTTGACCCAAAATAATACTTTTACTGCATCTTCCACGTACGCTGTTTCACTTAGTCTTATGGTTGGACTGTTGGTCGCCATATTGGATGGTTCTTTAATTTGAGCTGAAATCAAGGGGCAGAACCAACCTATTCATAGCACACCTTTGTGTTTTATAATACTTACAGTCCTATTAAATTTGTTTTAAGCCTTTGACACCCAAAATTGACTCGCATCTAATTTCTCCTCAAAATATCACCCATGAATCACACTTTATGGTCTTAAGAATAAGGGAAATCAATAATCAATCAATAAACTTTATTTACCCTCAAATTTCCAGTGTAGCACTCGGGTGCTAATACCTTCGAGCAAACACATACATCCCACCCCAGGGGAGGACATCCACCACACTTGATCTCCAGCACAACACAATCCGGTGCTCTAATCGATTGAGCTAACCGGGAGGTGGTTACTTACTTAAAAAGCTCTTGACTCATAATTAAAACAAATTCTCCTTGTCAGCACCTTAGGGAACGTATAGGGAACAGTATGGAGAATATGCATTCTGATATTAGGGTGAAAAGGGTTAAATAGAGCTGTTCATTCCTTAATACTTTAACCCTTGGTAACTAGAAGTTTGCCCTTGCTCAAACCAAACCTATTACTCCAGGAAATTCTCCATACGTGTACTTAATTTTAACCTGGTCATTTATTTTACACTGTTGCATTTGATAACTTGAACCATATGGCACAATATTGTTTTCTGATCTTCTGTTCTGTCTCAGGTCTCACAAGATCAATTTCTTTCCATATGTAATAATCTGATCACCAGTAAACGCATTGTTTGAACAGTCAGGAAACATATATGGAATACAGTGTTTCCCCCCATATTTCTCATCAAGTCGGTCAGCTCTTCTAGACCTCTGACAACTTCTCTTTACAGTTCAAGTTATGAATAATTTATTTGCATCGTTTGAATCTCATTTCTTTTTAATTGCTATCTTTTCTCATACAGGTAAAAGCCACCTTGCCTGATGGAAGTCCAATGAAAGGGGAACAAGTCAAGATTCTTATACGACAAAGTTGGAGGACTTTGCTTAATAAATATTTCATTGTACCAGAAAGTGGACTTGTCAACTTTTCCATTAGTGGTTCAAAAATTCCCCCCATAGCCAAATCACTTAACCTTCAGGTAATCAAGAGAGATTTAAACCTTTTATTTGTGTTCTCATCTTGTGGCAGGATGTTTAAAACATTACCAAGTCCAAGTTTGTTAAATATGTGCTGGTGATCAGTTGGGTTAGTGAGCAGTGCACTGGGGCTGGTTCCTTGAATACCCTGCTGACTGAGTTTACATTCAAGATTGAAATATGTCAACAGCTTTGAAATCCAAACAATAGAAATATTAATGAATGAAACAGATTGTATGTTTTCTTTTCAATTAAAGACTCCTACTATTCTAAGATTGACATTTAATTATTGTTTTGAGAAAAAGTTAAAATGTTGATTTGTCTTTCATATTTACCTTTTGATAAATGCTCTTTAGGCCAGGCACCAGAAGCAGAAGTTAGCATGTTATGATGCAAAGCGTTGGTATTCCCCAAGTAACAGCTACATCTCAATGGAAAGAATTGCGTCTCCACTGAAGGTCAATTTTACTTGTCCTTTTTATATCATAGTAGATAAAAGGATGTAGACTCATGAGTGTCAGATTATCACTTACCTGGCATCAATGATAAGAGCAGAAATTTCACAATATGAACAGTAGTCATGAGATTCAAGCTAAGAGTGGCTTTACTGCTAAATTTTGCAAGCCAGATCGATTCATAAAGAATTACTACTCAGTTTTTTAATTTTTTTTCCATGGCTCGAGTAGCATACATTTATTTCTGTTGTGATTGGTTAGTGTCAATGCCTTAACCAACTAGGGTGGTACTTGTACAGTTTGTTAGGTGTACGTGTTATTATCATGAACAAGTTGTTCACATGGTGCTAGTCTTTGAATAAATTATTACCACTGCAGCATGACCCAAGTCACGCCTGTAACCCACAACCTCATTTAAATTACTATCTGGTTTCCTGTTCATTGACATTATTGTCAGTAATCAAGGCTCAAAATAATTTTTGGACAGTGGCCAGTCATAATGACAGGCCAAACCAATTTTAAGTTGGTCACATCCTGCAGAACATTACTGTGTCAACTGTTTAACTGTTTATAATTTCCAGAATTAATGCAAATGAATTTATTTTTCTAGTTATTTATTGAAAGCTGAGTAATTTGCTCCCATTCAAAGTGGCCACCAAACTGAAATTTTGTCCAGACAAAATTAGTTATCTTAGCCAAACATTGACTGTTGACTGGCCATTACTTTGAGCCCTGGTTAAATTATCCATATTGACTTTAAACACAGTCGGTTTATTTATTGCCATTAAAAAATAAAGTCAAACTCATGAAACAAACAAATTCTAATAAATTATTTCAGGGCATGGTTGTATTATGGGTACATGCAAGGGACACAATTCATGAGCACTTGACATTACAATAACTCTACTGCCTTAACACATTTGTAATGATTACAACCTGTATATCACACTGTAATAACAGTTATTCCTTTCAAAACAGGTTGGATCAACTGCAAAAGTTAAGTTTCACTTCACCACCATAGCTGAACCAAAAAACATTACCTTTTATTACCAAGTGAGTGTTTTTCAAATTACCTTGTTCACGATGCAGTGTCCATAAATGTACTCTTAATTAGCAAGGGGCACCTTGAGAGCTAAGAACACTTTATTTGTGTGCAGGCACAAGATAATGATCCTGCCAGGGGTCCAATTCGGTCATCTTGACTGAGAGTCCAGTATGCCAACCAAAATACTTCCAATGTATTTTCCACGATGAGTAATATACTTTTTACAAATTACAGTAAATGTGTATGTTGTTTTCCTGCCAAATACCATTTTGAGATGAATATAAACCATACAGTTGCATGCTGCTGTTGTGACTATCAAACAATAAGAGGCCCTTACTAAGTTCCAAAAGCCCTGACTTTTAATATAAGGCTAAGTGCAAAACTTTTGAAGCAAAAATGAATTTTATTTGCATGGTAACAATAGATATTTCTATCAAAGGCTTTGCTTTTACTCTTAATATAAAGTAAAGGGATTGACATCTCTGAAGTGGCTTATTACTGAGAAGCTCTTTCATTTGGAAAGATATAGTACAGGTAATAGTGGTATCCAAGAAACTTCATTCAGAACTTTCAAAATATCGAAGTGGTTGACTCAAACTTCCCACTCCAGGAAACATTCTCTTTTTAATTGACAATTAAATAGCAATTTGTCCTAGCATTGGTGTTTCCATAAAGCTGATGTCAAAGAAAATTTTTTTTCTGCCATTTTTACCTCAGAGTGTGATATCAGTCATACTTTGAGGTTTTTGTAAGCAAGGAAGACTCACCCACTCCCTCACTCTCTCACTCCATTCTCTAATCTTTTAGACAACTAACTTATGCATTAAAACTTGGGGTAAATGTGTCATCCAATGCCTCACAGATGAAATTTTCAGCATCAATTTGGCCATCATTCTACAATAACTTTTTTAGTGTTTGACACTCAATATATTTTATATGTACATATACATATTGCATTGTCTTGAAACCTCATCTTTTGTCTGTTGTTCTTTAATACACATAATTATCAATACACAAGTTAATCATTAACAGGTTATTTAAGGGTGCTTCACGCAATATAAGAAGGAGATGGCAAATGGTTAAAGTTCTCAATACTAAATTGAAGAAATGAGACCTAAACATATCCTGAGGTGGCTCTAAGGAACCTATGATTAAACATCTTTTGCCTTCTAATCTTCAGGTATTCAGCCGCGGAGTTCTGGTAGCTCAAGGGAGGAATCTTCATCAAGTGGACTTTAAGCCACCCATGAAAACAGTGAAGAATTATAAAGGTGAAGAGATGTTTACAACCAGTGGATTTGTTCAGTTTGCTGTCGCTCAGAAGATGGTACCATCATCCCGCCTGTTATTGTTTTACGTGCGGAATGATCAAGAGACTGTTGCAGATAATATGCAGATTGATGTGGAAGACAAATTGGAAAATGAGGTAAACTGGCAATATCTAAAAATGCATTAAAATGCTAAAGATTAAATATGACAATCAATTGCTTGTTTAAAGGAACCAGTCAAATTTCAGGAATATGGAAAACAACTTTTGCAACTTTCAACAAACTAGCTAACTACTTGCTCAACAAAACATTTGTCCAGACTAAAAAGTCCTTTATCTGAGCAACTGAATTTCGCGATTTCATAATAAATGAAACAAAGTGGTGCTTGACCTTTGTGTTGTGTAATTTTGGTTTGAAATCACCCATATGATTTCAGACCAAATTGCTCTCCACTAAGTTCCATTACAGTTTCATTACAGTTGTTTAACTAGTCATGTGCGTGCAAGTGTAACGTTTGGAAGTAAATCTATGCAAATAAATAATTAGAGATGTTTTTCATCCCAGCATTCAGTTTAGGTTGCAAGCAGCTAATGTGCAATGGCTCATTTAAGGAAATAAGCAACAATCATGTTGATAA